GGGCCCCACACTCCTGTCCCTCCGCTCAAGCCTCCACCTTGAGCATCTGGATGCAGCAGACACATGAGGATGTGGTCGTGAGGAATGGAAGGAAAGGGAGAAGAGGGGACCCAGGCAGCTCTGGCTCCCTGAAACTCTCTGAGAGTTCAGAAAGCAGAGGGCACTCAGGGACTGAGCTTCTGGGGCTGTCACCTGCCCCTAACCAGACCCAGGCCTGGCCAGAGTGTGGCAAATCCCCATTCAACAGCATCCCTATCTGCTCTGCAGATGGACATATCATAATCCAGGACCAGAGAAGCATCACCTTCCCCATTAAGCACTTCAGCATCCCTCATCTCACTGGAAACAGGAATGTTGGAATGTTGGCACAGGAGCTAGACCTCAGGTCCCACCCCCAGGCAGTGAGGCCCCCTGACTTGTCCACCCTACCTGAAGACTGCAGAAGTCAATTCAGGAAGTTTGACAACAGGGACACACAACCCTGTGAGCACAGGAGGGTGGCATGAGCTCCCTGGTCCTGATAGAGATGCACAGCCCAGAGCTCTCCATGTGGACACCAGCCACAGAGTCCCCGAGTCCCACAACTCTTGTCAGGCCCTGGGCTAGTGGAAGGGGCCTTGGATGTCACACTCCCACCTTCCCTCACGCTCATGGGCTCTCACACACGCATGCACACGCATGCTCTTTCACACTCATGCACACTCCCACCCACCCACCTTTCCCACACACACCCACATAGCCCACTTGGTCCCGAGTCTCTGAGGCCTAAATACCAGGCCTGCTTCTTTTCTCCAGAGTTGAGATTTGCTCAGATGCTCTGCAGGGATTAGCTCACATCCTTTCTTCCGTGGCAGCAAAGGAAAGCAGGGTCTTACCTGGGGGAGACAAACACTTGAACCTGCAAAAAGAGGTCAGGCAGGAAACCATGGAGTCCTTCTTCATGCAGTATCGTTGCGATCCCACACCTGTATTTTCCTGTATCGTCTACAGTGAGGTTCTCCAAGGTCACTGTGAACGTGAGGTCCCCAGGATGGTCCACGATGGACACGCGGCCACTTCTCATCTCTTCCTCAGACCCTCTGGTGGCCACAGTCTGGTTCCATAGTGGCAAGCACGGTTGTCGGCACCAGTATTTGGTAAATGTCTTGTATTTCTCCTCGTACCGACACTGGACTCTCAGGGAACCCCCCACGGTGCCCATCACGGTGCTGGGGCCACTCAGAGACAAAGAGCCTGAAAGACACCATCAGTATTTTCTTCATCTGAAGAGCCTGGGCTGGAGGGGCCTTGGGGTTCAGGTCCCCTGGAAGCCCAGACGTCACCCTGAGGCTAGAAGGGGAAGGGGTCAGGAACCAGGGAGGCCTGTGCTGTAGGCCTGAAGTCCTCCAGACACAGGCTTAGGGCTTTAGGGAGTGGAAGGAGCAACACTGAATCTTCTCTGTGCAGTTGCTGCCAAAGGGGGCTCCGGCTGTAAGGGTGCCTGAGTGTAGGTGGGTGGACCCCTCAGAGCAGGGTTCCCAGCTTGCCTCCTCCTTCAGTTGCTTAAGCCCCAGCCTTGAAAATGTGGGGCTGCTTCCTCAGGTCTGGATGAGAAAACATTGTTAGGGATGCTCTGTTACACCCAGATCCTGAGCCTGAGCCAGCATGGTGTCCCCCCACCCCACTCCCCTACTCCCACAGCAAGCTTCCTGCCCACCAGGGCCTGAAAAAGAAACTCCTGACTCCCAGTGCACCGTAGGACATTCAGCAAAACCCCTGGCCCCTCCCCACTAAATACCAATAGCATCCTTCCCCCAGTGGTGAGAGCCAAAATTGTCAACTGGCATTGCCTAACGTCCCCTAGGAGTAACTCATCCCGTCTGAGAGCCACAGCTTTAGGAGAAGAGGGTTTATTCGAGAGAACCTGGGATAGAAATTCCCAGGTAAGAGGGGTGAGCTGTGGGCTCCTGTCCTTGGAAAGTCATCTCTGCTGATGAGCATGCAGTATTTTGCAGCTATTCCTTCGTGTGTTTTTCCTTTGTCTGGCGTCAGTCTTCTTACTGGTCAACCAGCTCCTATGCATTTTCAGACTCAGGCTTACAGACCAATTGAATCATAACTCTCCTTAATTACAGAAAGTCTCTAAATATCATTGAGATAAAAAGTAGGAAAAGAGAAGCTTGCATTGCTGGAGGCTACCTTTAAGAATGAGACTTCTTCCCTGAACTTTTCACTGTCCCAATGCCAGAGTGATAAGCCAAAACGATCCTCATCAGTATGACCTACTTGAGAGTCAGTATAATTTTATTTTTCAATCTGGCTGATCCTAACTCTAAAGGATGGTGGGACTGTGTCTTTTTATGCCCGAAAAGCCCGGTGTCACTATGCAGGATACATGTGCTTGATACAGGCCATCTCAGATTTATCTTAGTAAATGTAACAAATTACTTTTTAGATCCTCAAGTTTATAATGAAATTACTTTACCTATCCCCGGTCACCAAAACTTGGTGTTTTAAATGTGTTTTATTTTGTAGTTTATTTTTTAAATTTAATCACCTCCCTAAAGCATTATTAATATATTTTTGTAAAGGTTTTATTTATTTGACAGAGAGAGAGACACAGCGAGAGAGGGAACACAAGCAGGGGGAGCGGGAGAGGGAGAAGCAGGCTTCCCGCCGAGCAGGGAGCCCCATGCGGGGCTCGATCCCAGGACCCCGGGATCTTGACCTGAGCCGAAGGCAGACGCTTAACGACTGAGCCACCCAGGCGCCCCCGCTAAAGCATTATTATTTAAAAGTCTGTCAAGGTTGGGCACCTGGGTGGCTCAGTTGGTTAAGCGACTGCCTTCGGCTCAGGTCATGATCCTGGAGTCCCGGGATCGAGTCCCACATCGGACTCCCTGCTTCTCCCTCTGACCCTCTTCCCTCTTGTGCTCTCTATCTCTCTCTCTCAAATAAATAAATAAAATCTTTGAAAAAAAAAATAAAAGTCTGTCAAGGTTTAAAATTCCACAATGTGTTTGTCTGTTCAGTCAGCTTTATCACGCAGAGTTTCTATATGTTCTGAGTTTTAGTGTCTTATTTTGGGAGTGATATTTTTAAGGGTTTTGGTGTACTTTGATTAATATATCTAAAGGTGAGGAAAATGGGATTAATGTAATAAAGATTTTTTCCTGCTTGGGCTCTGAAGGTTGGCTCTGACATCGGATTACTTTGTATTCTAATTGCCACATTTGTGTTTGCATAGGATCAGAGCAGGCTGGTGAACTGTCCTGATTTTTCCCCCCATTCCTAATAAAATATTTTCCTTCCAGTGTTCAAACTCAAACAAGAGAGAAACTGTGTTTATGGGAACTCTCAGAACCCACCATTGTTGATGGGAACTCTCAGTGTGGGACTGACCACAAGTCCCCAGCAGTATCACCTTCAGGGGGCTCATAGTGCAGGGCCCCCGGGGCCAGGCCAGACCTATCAGAGGCCCAGGGACCCCATCAGCACCTGGGATGCATAAACGCCTCTTCACAAGGAGGCTTATGTAGTAAGGGACCTTGTTTTATTGAAAAAAATGATGACTTGGGAAAGAAGTATTATAAGAAAAGCGATGACCTTGGAAATAAAAGTATTTTGCTTTGAACCTTGGCTGCCTTTTATGAACTGATCGAGAGTAAATAATTTGTATATATATGTATATATATATGGCAAACCCACGAAGAAAACAAGAAGAACATGAATGTAAAGTTCATAGCTTGGATTTCTCAGAGGGGAGCTTGGGACTTCAGAAATATTAAGGATGTATATTACTTAAGCTATGATGTGGGCAACCAAGGGTTGAAGAGTATTCAGTGTTTAAGGAGTATGCATATATTGGGAACATTCTTTGTGTCTACAAAAAATTGCAGGAAAAGTTACAAAAAAGGTTTACAAATATTCAGAATGAAATATGGAAAACGGCTGGATAATTGGTCAGCAAGCCATTCCCATCCATCAGAAGGGCTGTGTTCCTGGGTGGGTCATCAGTGGGCAATTGGTGTTACTGGTTTTCAAATCAGGATGACGCCACCTCCCCACAGAGCCCCTCTGAGGCCTGTTCACTCAGAGGACAGCACTGAGCATGCTCAGGAGCAGCGGCACCTCCAGGAAGACCAGGAGCCGGAAGTAGGTCCTGCTGAGAAGGGACCTGTGGGGGACACAGTAACAGGTAGTGAGCCACATCCTCAGGGAGTTGCCCTGGTACCCTCCACTTTCCTTCTGTCCCTGTGCCCATGTCCTGAGGCTACAACAGTCCATACACAGATCAGTCCCAGGAGGTTCCATGGGCAAGGCAGCCCCACACAACAGACCATGCCTGTGACCTTTAGCCTAACAATTGCCCTTGAGACAGGACTCTGGACACGGAGAGGGCCTGGCTATTGGAGTGACAGGAGGGAGACCCCAGGGAGCAGGCAGGACGTGGGCCAGGAAAAGGGTTCTACGTAAGCCATCCCCATTGGGG